TAGAACACCGCAGAGGAGGATCCAAAAGCTTCCTGTGCATCATGTTCTTTGACTTTGTAAAGCAATATTTGCGATAGTTGACATCGTGGTTTTGAATCTGAGATCTTGGATGTTGCTAGACTTAAACTGCGTTTCACTTCTCATGAATATGCACAAGAATACTTTGTTGGGACGTGGGCGTTGATTTTCATGGCGCGAGCGGTTCCGAGCCGATTTTCTCTCATTGGGAGCGGTGTTTAAGGAAGTTGAGGAGTTCGAACATCTCGACAACTAGACTGAGGTCTTCTAGACGAGCCATCGCTCAAGCGAAGATGCAGAAACCAAGTGTAAGGTTTGAAAAGAAGAACGCTGCGGCAACCCTAGCCTTTTCGGCACAGGAGACAAATTAGCGCATTGCTGTAAATGCAAGGGTACTGCGACCGCGTCTCTAGCATTGGCAGTTGCGTCCTGCCGTTCATTTAACGTTCGAATTTTGAACAAAGTCCACATTTTTGGAATCACTACAATTAGTAAACCCACATAAGAGAAATCTGAAAATTGATGCTCGATCATTACCTTTCAGTGGATGCCACGGTAAAAATAATCAAAATAATTTCATCATACGAACGCAACAAAGGGCACCGAATCCCATATGCACTCTACAGCACTTTTCCCCTAGTATAAGACATACTCGGTCCGGCGGCCGACGTTCGAGTCTTGATCAAGTTGGCAATGTAGTGATGGTTGTTTCGTCTTTTGTTTGAGAACAACAGACAAAGTTGCTTTGCATGGAATCTACACTCATTCATGTTAAATGACTAAGAATCTATTTTCATTGAGGCCACCGTGTAGCAGAGAAAATGCGCTGATAGGGACCTTTCCCACCTAAAGCGAAGTCAACAGTTGCACGGCTTTGTCCTTCAACCCATGTGCATGGTTTAAACTCTCAGCCATTAGCGTTGGCGGCTTCTCCCAGCAGCAATAAAACGCTATCCTGACGTAGCATACATGGCGTATGTCAATTAATAACTACAAGCTTCTTTCTTTTTATGATCTTATTTCTTTCCGATAGACATAAATACATCTGCCTATTTCTGTGCTCTACACAGAAGTCTATACTTCTCGCCGTTAACCGTGTCTCGTCATCCGACACAGTCGCTCGTGGACATCCAAACATCGATAAAGTGAAACGGAATGACTGCGCTTACTCCTAGGTTGGTTGTAGGCAACATAGATAAGATTGATTTACAATTTAAACACTCACATTTTTCAATATAGTAAGCTGCTAAAGTATAGAACTCAGCTCGCTGCCTTCACGCGTTGTAATCGCCTGTGATTTTTTTCTTCGGGTCTTCAGAGATCACTGCACAGCAGATTTGCAACCTTAAGATTTTATTGAATCATTTGTAGCTTTCGCTACTACAGGAGTACTGCATACGCAGCTTACTCTCCAGAAAAGTCGAAAGTGACTGGAGATAACGGAAAAAAGTACATATTCTTTAATCCCACCATATACACTCGATCTGTAAGTTTTCTAAGCTCAATTACAACGCATGCAGAAAAATGATTTTTCTTACTGTAAACAGATATGGTTTGAAAACACTCATTGCTTAGCGACTTGCTACCAAAAAATGTTCGTGTTAAAGGTGCCGAGGTTCAAAAGGTGATGTATGAGATGATATTGATTTTTTTGAACAGTGGATACAACGTGGCTCAATGGGCAAAAGCAATATAAACAATCGATCAAATCATCAAATTCATCGGTAAAAGTAGCAGTACTGAAAGAAATGCAAATGAGCCACTTACGCAAGATCAAGAAACAAGTGCAAGTTCTTGTGCAGACTGCTGCGATAATATGGAAAGAAGACCCGCCTTGAACATAACTCTTCTGATAAAAAAAACTTTGTTTATGAGAGCGATGAGACAGTGCGCATATGGAACGATTGAGAAGAACATGATCTCAATAACAAACACCAGCAACAAATACAATCACGAAACGCGATACTTTGCAATCCAGAGAAGAAGGGGAATGAGACTACGAAGAACTTACAGTTTTGTTGAGCCAGGCTATCAAGGTGATCTTACGTGTAGAAAACGTATGTGCAAGATGTCGTTGTTCACAGAAACTGAATTTTACTGCGCATGATGCTCACCATCCTTTCTCTACCACTATTACCACAAAAAAAGGCCAATAATCTATGGCTATTGCAGTGAAAAGACGTCGGTAGCCGTTTAACCAACATCGGCTCTTTATGAATCTGTCGATTAATAATACCAGTACACTGGGTCTTATGATAATTTGAAAAGACCGATCACCTCACCTTCTAAACAAAGTTTTTTCTTAAGGGAGAGGTTAAGGTGGAGGGCAGACGTTGAAGGCACCTTTCATCCTAAGTTGAGACCCTTAAGCTTTTGGCAGCTTATGATAGTAGGGCCCCTATTAAATCAATAACCAAGTCGCGGCGCAAAATGTTGCTTCGGAAGCGAGAAAATCGCTCCGGAATAACGAAGACGCACGATCACCTCAAATGGCACCGCCCTCTCCATCCATGCCCGCCTATCCGTGCGCGCCCAGCCAATCACCGTTCCGAAAAGTCGGCCTGTGTTTAACTGTTTACTTTTTATTTGTTTAACCATAGCAGCTGGGCTTTCCAGCTTCCATCATACCTGCGATAATCCTACAAAAACAGGCCATTTTGCGTCAACCTTTTTCCCTTCTGCGCATGCTGGTGGACCGCAATGAGGCGCTGGAAAGCCAAGAAGGCGAAAGTTTGTTGTAGATGAAATAGTCTTTGCAATGAAATTTGTATTTCTGAAAAAAGTTCAACCTGCTTGAAGCTATAGTAATTTGAAAAAAATTTTCGCAAGTGCGCGGAACTTTCTTTACGACCTAATAATACATTTTCTCATCTATAAACAATTTTTGGTTTGCAGCGTTCGTAATATACTCTAGTTGGTCTGAAACCATGTTTTATTTCATTAGCGAAAGCCTTGAGCTGGCATGTGCAGTCGTGCTGGCGCCGTTCGATAGCAAAGGACAGCAGCGAAAGTCACACTATCTCCAACAATTAAGTTTTGCTGGAATCTGCTCAATTTCTTCTCTTTTCAATTGTTCTTCCGTAATTCGTAGTCGGCGTCAACGAAATATGGAGCAGCATAAACTTCACAAGTAATGAGACAATGAGCAGTAACTGAGAGTGTGTACTGTAAGTGGTAAAATTTCGTGGTTTAAACACATTATTCACGGCTTTCATGGAGAAATTTCCCAAGTAAGGTTGTCTCGACAAGTTTTTTGCAGCAGAACATAAGATCGTTCACACATGAGCTTTTTCGCAGGGTTAAAAGGTCACACTGACCTAAACATAATCTGCAGTCAAGGAGTCGTGTATACTTGATGATCGTTCTTCGAAAAGTGATGGGCGCTATGGTCCTTAAGCTAGTTGTACCGATGCATCTTAAAGGCAGTGTCCCCGGCAGATTTTGCATTTCCATCTTTTTGCATATTTTGGGCCTTTTCTACCTGTAGACCCCGAATATGAGCTTTAATATGAATGAAAAGACCTTTTCCATGGAGTTCCCAATTTCCAAAAGTCAACTTGGACGAGAATTTCAATGGAAAGTTGGGAGGCCCTGGCACGAATACCCTGGTGCCTGTAATTTTTGCTTTGGATAGCATGCAAAATGCGAGAGAGCGGTCGTGGGATCCCGCGCCGAACGGTCAGCGAAGACGTCTCAGCGCGCGCCGATTAGGGTTGCGCGCGCCAGTTCAAGGGCTACTTTCTCGGCCCATGGGGAACATCCACCAGCCGGACTGCGCCCTGGGGTCAGTAGGATGACCAGGAACCCCACCACAGCAATATCCCCCAGGGCGCGAATCTGCCTTGACACTGCCTTCAATGTATATTCAGTGATAAAATTGTGTTGATTTGCCTCTTGTATCGTTTCTTGTGTAAGTTTGATAATGAGAGAAGCAAAGGCAAATCAGAAGGCAGTTCCTTGTCCGCACCCGCGGTAGTCGCTCTTCTTTTCTTATTTTCTAGCCCGCGTCACATTTTTATAGCGCTAAGTAAGCTTGTCCTACATAAGTCGAGTACCGAACTATTGTCTTAGTGATGCCGCTAAGTAAGCATACATCTATCATGACTTAGAATAAGCGGCTTAATCTGAAGTTGTGTGGAGTTTGTCCGTTACGAAATTACAGTGAGGAATGATTTACGATACTAAACATCATGTGAGGTTAAGATAGCGAGTATGGTTCATTTTTAACTACGGCTCACTTTGCAATAAACCGAACAATGACTTGAGAGACAAGCTCTCAGAAAGTGAGTTTACCACGGTTCACGGTGCCAGTGCGAACCTCTGCGAAGCAGAGGTGAAGCACTGGTAATATGATATCATGACACATCGAACTTAGCTTTTTTCGATACTGAGTTGACCCAACCTTAATTCTATCAAATTAGGCCGTCAAGTACTTTCCACGCAATTCTGGAAGTTTTGAGGAGCACCTCTTCTCAATGGAAAGGCCTATCATGTGATTGAACAAAGCAAATCCAAGCCACTTTCTCTATCGAACCTTTGGGCTAAAATACTTTCAATTTCGATTGTGCACTCGCATGCGTGAAGCTGGTACTGAAAGGATAGGAGGAGCCTATAATATGCAAGTGTATGTTGCAGCATTTGGGAGTTCCAATGCGTTTAGGAAAGTGGAGTTGTGAGCTCGGTCAAAATCACATATTTTCAATTTTTTGGCCTCCACTTTTGTAAATATCATCATTCATAACCGCGCTCAATGGTCTTGTAGAGTTCGTTTTTCTCTATTTAACGTTGTGCTTGTGACGAATGCCTTACTTTTTATTTCCATAGTGAAACTTTGCCTGAATGCAAAGTTCAAAGACTTTTTTTATTAACTTGACGAGGTGAAGCCAGCTATACGATATAAATTGCGCAATTACACTATTTTCAGACGGCCAACTATGGTCAAACGATCTATTTTTTGGGACACTCTCTATAACAATGATTTTAGGACATCTTTATTGTGAAAGATTAACTCATAGACAGAAAGTAAAGCAGTCATGATGGATCGATTTGTTGATAACCGATCAGCCAAGACGAATGCGACCGCCGCCAGGGCCTCCACCGTATCCTCCATATCCTCCACCCCCATAATAAGGTCCACCTGAATAGTGACGCGGAGCATAGCCAATGATACTTCTTCTAGAATTTAGATTGCAATAAGCCCACCTCCGAATATACGGCCCTCAACGCCAACAATGAACATAAGAACAACTATTAGGTAATTGAACATTGCAATCATAATGCTTGAAGGACTGAAAAAAGAAATTAGTAAGACAAATTGCACAGCTTCAAATAAAAATAGACTTGTGAGAAGGATTTTGATTTGGCTGATGTACACTGGATTGGCAGCTGATACATGAATGGCGAGAAAAATTTTTTGGCTTCGAATTCTTTGAAGCAGAAGAATTCATTTCTAGCTATCAATTCCCCTGTTCAAGAACAATAATCAAGAGCAACTGATTGTTTAATAACAGCGTAAAATTGGATTATATGCCAGGAGAAGGAGAAAGAGCGCATGCCTCAGGAAGTGGAGCACTGAAAGATCATACAAGTGCGATGCTATTTAAGTGACCTATGCAATCATTATGCCATTTTGTGATTCCCATCACATCAACAACATTAGAAACCATTTAAAGTGTTCCTTCGCTTAGCAAAAGCATGTACATTACGAAATCCTAATCAGGTCCCTCACTGCTTCGAAATGCATTGCCACGCTGAACCTTTTATCCCTATTATAGGCCTAATGCCTTCGAAAGATAGCTGAAACATATTCCTGCATTAAAAAATTTACATCAACAATTTGCAGTTTTGCTTTGGTTTTCAGTCTTATGCTTTATGCCTTTTTGGAACACAACAAGTTTGTGTTCCTACACAAGAGTAGTTTGGATTTTGAATTTCATGATAAAGTTCTAAATACAACTAAAGAAATATATTACAACTATAATAAATGCAATACAACATACCAATATACTTCAAAAGCTCGTTCAAGGGCTTCCCTGCAAATTTCTTAAAATGATTATTGACGGGCACTCCAATTTCCATTGGCCAACGTCTCATATTTACCTTGCCCAGCTTTGACTAAGTTTTAGAGTCACCTTCGCAACTTCAGACGAGTAAACTCCAGTAACCAGCAGGTAAACCATTACCTACCAAACACATGGAAGATTTCGATGGGAATTAAAACTCATTGCTTGCCAAAAATTTATACTGAAAAGTATTAGGTTGTACTAAAAGTAAACTCCATTTCCAAACAAATTGAGCTGTTCTCGTTTTCCTAATAGACCTAAGGTAACATTCGGTAGAACAAAGCAAGGGCGCTTATATATAGGTTGCGGTCATTAATTTTTCGCATTTTACATCCGTGAAAAAATACAACGAATGCATACAATGAGATTGTATGCGTATATAACATTGTTAGTAAAAGCAAGTAGGAAGTTCGTAATTTTTTCTTGACTGATTTCCAAGTTTCCTCTTTCTTAAACCTCGGCATTGTTTATTGCTGTGTTACTAGGTGAGTAAGCCGACCGAGGTTAGTAGTATACAAGTAACTAGTGGCATCGAAGGCTGCTCTAACATCCGCTCCCCGACGGTGGAGGAAGCCTTTGAAGAAAAAGACTTGTTCGAAACGTTAAGCTGTCACTAATAAAGATCTATTAGGTTGATGCATAATTCCTGCACCAAAATAGGTAAAGACTGCAATAATTTGGAATAATCCTATATCCCAGATAGGATTCGATATATCAGTGGATAAAGCAAACCTAGCTCTACAAGATAGTGCTTGAAGTTCTGCAGCAGCTTTGATCCAAGCGAAGATTGAAACCAGAAACAAAAAAGATCCAAGCGCCCCAAAAAACCAGGAAAAATTGGAAGTCCTTTCAGAAAAATCCTTCAAAATTCCTAACTTGCTCATGCATTTCATTTCGTATAAGACATTTTTCTATGCAGTTGCTGTATTATTCTCTCAGCTAAGTTGAGAAAACGAAGCTTTTCACGTTTTTGCCAAATTAGTGCTGAGGTGTTCTAGCACTATCAGTTGTATAGTACATGCCGTTGGCAGTGAAACTTTAGATTTTCAGCCTTCTAGAACAGCTAGTTCACGAGAAATGAGAATCTAGCTTTCTTTATCCAAATTTTTCTTGCCTAGTTGCTAAAAGTTCAATATTTCTCGTAAATCAGCTGCTGTTAAAAGCTAAAAATTCACACTCACGCTTCTTACACAACTGTCAGTGCTAGAACATCCCAACATTATCTTGAAAAAAACATAAAAAAACTTCATTGTTCAACTTCATGTTCGTTTAGTTGTTCGTTCGTTATAGAAACGCGCGCCACTTAACCGATCCGGTTGAAACTTCGCACACGTATATTTTCGACCCCGGCGGTGGTTTAGAGCTACTTTCCGCGGCGCTTCGCCGGGCCATTCTATCGATCTATTGATTTGTTTACTCAAATCTAAGAAAATGAAGGGCCATCATGGCAACCGATCATTTTTACATATAAGCATGTAAGCAGGGGCGGTAAAGTCCATTTTAGTCTTAAAGTTGGTAGAGTGCGGCAATTAGTCTGAAAGCGCTTTATGCGCATGTTAGAAGAAATCTAGAGGCGTAAGTTTACAAGTTCTGTTGGCTTAACTAACTTGAAGTCTCGCGTGAGACCGGGGTCACCAGCTACTCATTTATAAGGAAATGGTTAGAAATCGAAGTGGCCGATCCAAACAAGCTACATACCATTATATGCAGCATGTAACTTCATAGCAACTTCACAACTACATAAGATTTCAAAACTGTCTTCTGTATCTGCTGAACGCCTTTGTTGACGAAGTTACGAGCAGCTTTACTGCGAGAAAATCTCTATCATGACTTATAATAAAGCGCTAAGCGTCTGTCTGTCTGTGTGTGTATGTCTGTCTGTCACAAAATTCACAGAGTGAGTTGCAGCCAGCGTCTTGATCTAGAATTTTGGTCATAGCACCCAATCAGCGTGAAGGTAAACTGTGCAAAACCACAAGTCGATCCAGTAAGTGGAACCATCGAAAACTGTGCGTCAAACGGATCCACGCGACTTTTAGCCTGCCAATAGATCGGTAATTGGACTTTCTGTAAAGTCTTGGATTTGTTCAGCAAGTGAATCCAAAAACATTGACTTCAGTTCAAAAAGTAAGTAAAAAGTCTATTTTTACACGAAATTGGCGCCAAAAAATGTAACTAAGCAAATTGTCGATTTACCAAGTTTGCACAATAAAAATTGAGAGGATTTTTGAATGGATTTGTAGCCCAGGGTGGTTTTTATCCTTATGGCGACTATAAAGCCAAAATAAATTCAGTAACCCATTCAAAATCGCATTTGTTTTTCTGCGAAAAAATTTTTTCTCCCAAAGTTACCGATCTCACATGGAAAAGCTCTGAAAATGAATGGTTATTTACAGTTCATTCGTGATGTTCAGCATGGCGCGGTGAGTTTCAAAGTCACTATTATGCGATCACGAAGAAGGCATGGATAGTAGAGCCAGTGCGAACCTCTGCGAAGCAGAGGTGACGCACTGGTATATATAAAGCTCAAAAATTGTCTGTTTGGAGGGTATTTGAGCTATAGAAACGCACGCCGCTCAACCTATCGGGCTAAAACTTTGATAAAGAAGTCTTTGACCCCGGAGACGGTTTTGAGATTTATTTTACTAAAATAAGCTAAATCCTTTTGTCGATTTATTGATTTGTTTACATTTTCCTGAGGAACTGAAGGCTTACCATGCTCAATCAAGCATTTTCCGTAGTCATGTAAAGAAGGGCGGTGAAGCTCATTTTCACCTCAGGATCATGAGGATGCGGTTCGAAGCGGATGTCCCAGGATGTCTCATCCTTGATATAAGAGGGGAGAGGGGCTCGCATGCAGGTGACCAACGGCCCGGGCTGGACCGGGAAAGCCAACTAGTCCTAAATAATGATCATATTTGGAACCAGCTGGCATGCCCAGCTTCCCTTGCATCGTGGGTTTGATTGGCTTAACAAAGAGCAAACTTGGGCGTACATACATACATACATACATATCCTCATATCCTATATCCTCAGTACAGTTTTACCACGTCTTCGTTGAGTTTTTGGGAAGATAAATAAGTTTGAAAATGGGAGGTGATCGCCTGGGGATCCCAGAGTATCACCTCTCATTTTCAAACTCATTTATCTTTCCAAAAACTCAATGAGGACGCGGTAAAATTGTACTATTATAACAATAATAGCATAGCTATTATATTATTACCAGTGCTTCACCTCTGCTTCGCAGAGGTTCGCACTGGCATCGTGAATCGTGGTAAACTCACTTTCTGAGAGCTTGCCTCTCAAATCATTGTTCGGTTTATTGCAACGTGAGCCGTAGTTAAAAATGAACCATACTCGCTATCTTAACCTCACATGATGTTTAGTATCGTAAATTATTCCTCACTGTAATTTCGTAACGGACAAACTCCACACAACTTCAGATTAAGCCGCTTATTATAAGTCATGATTATTATTATTGTACTTATTCATACTCTAAAGTCCACTTATCTGAATTTTGGCTTCCTTCTCTTTCTCGGTAACAAAGGACAGATACCTCCTGACCGCATCGCCATGAGTTACCGCATTTCCCTCATCGTGGAATGAAAATGAGTTCTGCCGCTATTATTTACCCGAAAGTTGGAAGCGTATGAATAGTACTTGATAAGGGTTCATTTTCCTTCGAAATCGAAATCAATAAAAGAAGAGGGAAGTTCGCTGCAAAAAGTAGTCTACAGGGTGGACCACTGTATGAACAAAGACACATAGGTGTTCAAACGTTGGGACTGATCAGTCCACACTTTTCTATAAAGAACACACTAACTAATAATTTACCAGCACTCTTTTATATATGTTTATTTATCTGTTTATTTATTTATTTTTTATTTTTTTATGTACGGATAAAATTTTTTCAATCTTTTTCACATCCCCGATTTTTTTTCTATCGTATTAGAACGATCACGAGCAAAAGGTTGATTTGAACATTGTAAGTATTGAACTTCTACAAAATTGAAGCCAACGTCGTGAACAGATTTTCGGATCATGGATGTTTCCACGCCCTGTTTACTGAAGATTTAGGACAAAATTTCTCTTTTCACACTCTTGTAGCCTATATTCATTCGACATCAAACTTGATCTAGTAAAAAAGATAGCTAGATGATACTAATTCCAGAATAGATAATCTCTATATATATAAAGCAGAAAACCTGTGAGTTTGTTTGTACGCATTCGGGTGCAGGTTGTGCAGGTTGTGCAGGGTGTGCAGGGTGTTCACGGTCTGCAGGGGTGCAGGTTGTGCAGGTTGTGCAGGGTGTGCAGGATGCGCAGGGTGTGCAGGATGTGCAGGGTGTGCAGGATGTGCAGGGTGTGCAGGGATGTGGAGGATGTGCAGGGTGTGCACGGTGTGCAGATTGTGAAGGGGTGCAGGTTGTGCAGGGTGTGCAGGGATGTGGAGGATGTGCAGGGTGTGCAGTGTGTGCAGGGTGTGCAGGTTGTGCAAATTGCGCAGGTTGTGCAGGGTGTGCAGATGTGTGCAGGGTGTGCAGGGTGGGGAGGGGGAAAGTGAACATGCTGATTTGAATACGTTATTGACAGGACCGGGCGGAGCCGGGTTTGCCAGCTCGTTTATTTATAAGATACAACTTGCATCTCTTCAAAAACGGGAACAATGCTCAGATACAATTAGGCCCCTGCTCGAAGTCTTGGAGGCAGTCTGGCCTCCGTCTTTAGGCAAAAAGCGCGAGCATGTGAGCGACCATTCAGAGACACGCTCCAGAAAGAAGTTACCAAGCACTTGATATTTCTCACTGTGTTTTTCACAAAGCGAATTGGCCATGTTGGCCGTTGGCCCAGTTCTATGAATTGGACAAGTTTTGTTGTCATCCAGTCTTCGTGATGGTAGTGACTGTTGAGTCTCTTCTACTGGCTTGGCGGCTGGAAGGCGTTGTGACTAAATGAAGAAGCTCGCGCCCGCAGCGCAGTCTGCGTCTGTCTCGTGCGCGTGCTCTCTGGTCATTATTTAGCCTTGACTAGGTCGCGAAGCCCCGCTTTCCAGCCGCCAAGCCAGTTGAACCAAAGGGTGACTATTTGTCACAGTTATCTACGAGAAAATCCACTAC